AATTTAAAGATTAATAAAAGCTGTTTCCTTGTTTTTTCCAGCCAATAATCTACTAAATGAGAACATTGGAGGGAAATCATAGTAAAATCAAAAGGTTTTTTTGTTTTATCTTGTAGAAGACAGTCCAGCATCATGGGTTTTTTTAGAAGCAAATCTGCTTCTGGCTCCTATAATTCTGGTCTCTACAAACTGTTGATACAGCCTTCTTCTCCTGTATGGGCTTTTTTATTTATTTCTCGTAACAAACTGGGCTCATTAAGCTCGGTTTATATGTAGATGATAAAACACTGATCCTTGAATGAACAAAGAAAACAACAAAGGAAGGCGGTTGAAGCACTGAAAAAGAACAAGAAAGGCTGTTTAATCTTCTCGGTGGGATTTGATTCTGACCGTTGCAGACCTTTTCATCCTCTTAGGCTATCGCTCTCTTTTCCTTTCATAAAATATATTTTTTTATAAAGCACAATAAATCACCACTCTGCCCTCTGATAAAACAAACCCATGGGCCCAGTGGGATTTGGGGCCAGGAAAGATTAGCTGGAGGATCTCCTTCCTGGCCTTAGTAACCAGATGATGACTTGATTATGATATAATGTGTGTATCTCAGATGAACAGAAAGGTTGACTGATTTTTCTGTTGCTTTCCATCCCTGAACTGCTTGGTGCGGTTGGCCAGCCTGCAGCCTGCCTGTCTGCCAACTCTAACTGTATTTCTTCACGAGTTATTGACTTTGTGTGCGTCTCAGTTTTTCCTGACTCCCTGATTTTCTGATTTTTACTCTCTTGTATTCCTGCCCGTTTCTCTGCAGCATTGCTACAGTGATCAACAAATTAAGCTTCTGAAAAGCTATTTTTTGTTTCCAGTACTGAGAAAAACTGACAACATTCACAGGAGGAGCTGTGAGATGACAGTTTTCATAACATCTTTTCTTCTGTAGAGACATCCAGTTTTTAGCTGTTTGGTTCAGTCTATGATTAGTGATGATCCTGTTATATTATCTCCAGAATAATAATGATTATTTTCATTTTTTTTTTTACTAATGTAACTGACAGAAGAACTACAGGCAGTGTTAGCATAGCAGATGGTTCAAAGTTTATCCTTCCTTTTCCAAACGGTGGAAACGTGGTTTTGCTGTGGATAAAAACATTCTGTCAGCTTGTTGATCAACATTTATGCTGCTATAGTTTAGGAAATTAAAAAGGATTCAAACTTTCCTGTAAACCAAAGGGGGTCCAGTAATAAAGCTTTGGAAACCACCGACCATCCTGAAACTTCCACCATGTTGAACAAAACGTTTCATCAGACCTGAGCACCTTCTTGCAGGTTTGTCCTCAAACAGACCTCTTCTACCTTTTGAGAAACAGACCAGCTGGATGAACAACAAAACAAACTTTTTTGTCTCTGAATCTAATATTATTGTGACAAATTTTATTTAGAGAATTTATTTTTCATTCTTCTTTATTTAATTTTATATCTTTTACTTTTTGTCTTTGTTATCCTTTCTGTGCTTCCTTATGTTCTTTCTCTCTTTTCCTCACCTGTTTTTCTCACTTTTTTCCTCCATCTTTTCCTCCTTTCATGTTGTTGCCGTGTCCTTTCCTGTCTCCTTCATCCTTCCCACTCATGCATCCCCCCTTCCTCCCTTGTGGTCTAACGTCTGTCCTCATGTTCTCCTTTCTGCTTCCTTCTGATGAACTTTATCACTTTATGTGTTGAAATGAACATAAAGGGCTGAGAGCTGTGGAAAGTTGAGTCTGGTTAGTCCTGGAATCGTTTCATGGAAAAAGAGGAAGGAACTCTGAAAGCAGATTCTGTTCAAATCATCTCATTTCCTTATATTCCTCTGTTACACATTTAGAGACCTGTAACCTTGAGATTGTAAAGAATGTTCTGTTCCAGACTGCAGAATGAGTGAATAGATTATTTTAACCTTTGTATTTTTTATGAATCCTCTCTAAATTATCAATTTTGTTAAATATTTTGTCTTCCTGATGAGAGGACGTTCTATTCTTCTTCTTTTTATAGTGTTGTTAAGGTTTTATGTTCTTTTCAACACTAACTAGAGAAAGAAAATGTTTACAGTAGCAGGCCTACTGTGCTCTCAGCTGCAGAGAGCTCTTGACAAACTGTTTTGTTTGAAACCGACTTAACAAGAGGTCAGTTAAGCTCTGCAGTCACGGCTCTGTGATTCCTCACCACAATGCTGTTGTAACACTCCAGTTAGTCTTTCATCTGGAGTCAGCTTTAGGTTTGCAGACATGGGCTGAGCTTCTTCTCAAATCAATCAGCATCTGGGCCGATTCTCTTTTCACCGAATCTTTCCCTTTTTTTCAAAGTCAAACAGCTGAGAAGTTTTTTTTTTGTGCATACATCTGCACTAGATCCATGCAATGAGTTGTATTAAAATTTAATGTGATAAACAAGTCCAATGCACATATTTTTAATTGTTGGTGTGTTTCCACAAAGGTAAACATGTAAATTAAAGATAAAGGTGCTTCATAGAAACGCATGTCAAACCTTTCAGATTCCTATAATCTTTTTTACCACCCACCTCATAGTCAGGCCTTACTTTAATGATCTGCTGTAGAAAATCCAAGTAGACTACATCTATATACTACTATGAGGCAATTTGGATAGTGTGGAAAAGTCCACGGTTCCTATTTTAGTCCACATCTTGGTGCTAATGGAGGGTTCATATCTCCACTTACTCCCTGCTGTTCATGCTGGAATAGAAAAAACGTAATAGTTAGTGTTGTTCATTGGAAATCAAAGATCAAACCAAAGATCTCTTCTACCAATATATATTGGTAGCTCTTTATTGAGCTTTAATTTATTTGCTACTTCTGCTCTCAGTTTTAATTGTCTACTAATAATGTTGGGTTTTATAGACCTGTCAGATGGTGTTTTTTAGTTAGCATTAGCTGATTTTTTTTCTACTAGACTCTCAGTGAGCTGATGGTTGTCTCCTTAAATGTTTATTTTTTCTTCTTTCTTTTGTTTTACTTGTGTGAGTTTATTATTATATCATTGGCTGCCTGTTGCGTGTCAGAACTGATGTTTTCCACAATAGTTAATCTAATTAGGCCAGTTCCTCTGTCTGGATATACAGTTATAATCTTCATTCTGCAAAGATTTGGGAATGGAATGAGAGCGATGTCCTTCAGCTAGTACAAAGTGTAATATTTTGATATGGCTGGAGCCATGGATGTTTACTCATCTGCTAACGTGTATGATGTAAAATAATGTTTTGATGATGTGGCAGACTGGAGATGTATAAAATGCCTTTTTAACTGTTAATCGGGGCCACTTCCTGAGAGGTGAGCAGCTGCCTTCTGTGAACTCTAAGCAATTTCTCTGATCTGAATAAGATCACAATTTCTATCAGAATCTGTTGTCATGTCTCCTGGTTATTTAATACATATAAGTTATTAAATGTTTTTTAAAGAGTTTTTCCTGAGTGATTTCTTTTTAGGGAAAAGAACCAAAGAGATGGAGCTTTAAGGTACATACATAGAGCCTAAATATAACATACCCATACACATATATTGGTATTTCTTGTGAAACTAAGCATAGTGAACTGACATACGACTTTGTATTGAAATTTGGGCTGCAACTAATGATTGTTTAGCAAATCGATTAATTTGTCCATAATTTTTTGTGATAAATCGATTAATAATTAGATAACAAAAGGTTCCTTAAAGAAGACTTTTAATTAAATTAAATCTTGTGAAACAAACCTTTCTACTTGTGGACTTCTGCATAGAACATATTGATGGACAAAAAAGATTAGAAAGTTTATATATTTTTTTAAATTCTGGTATGATTACTGCTCTAAGTGCGATTTTATGTCAGCAAAAGGCATATAATAGAGTCTCTATACTCCAGTTAAAGATTAAGATTAAATTAGTTGACGGTTAATTGAATAATCAATTAATCTGATTAATAGTTTCAGCTCTAAATAAACTTCCTGAATGTGCAAACGTGTTATACCTGACCTTTTGGGTTGTGACATAGAGCCTTCTGCTTTTAGACGTCCGGTATCCATAATAGATCCTCATACTTGCTTATGGGAAGTTTCATACTCAACAACCGGTGTTTTAAAGTGTTTTGTTTGAGTTTTCTAATGCTTACTTATATTTCCAATCATTGAAACTGGAAACAGCAACAGTTTATGGTGTATTCTCATAAGTTACTTACATTTTTAGGTTATGTAACAGGCAGCAAATGAGGGGCACCATTCATGCAAAGACCGATTTATAGTTTTCCAAAATTACTGTCCGGATGTGTTTTTGCAACAGGCTTTGAGAACAAGTGTTTCCATGGTGACCGGAGGAGAGGTGGCAAAGGTCAACTGTCCTGCAACTGGCAGGCTCTGACGTGAGGGGTCTCTAAGTCAGCGCAACAGGCAGAACACAGCAGGGGGACTTTATTTAGTTGACAGCAGTGGAGAAAAAATGCTTCCTTACTTTACTTACAGCTGCCTTAAATCAGGTCAAGGATCTGTCTGAGTGACGAGGAAGGGGTGTGTAGCGTTTGAAGCTGGGTGATGTGCTGAAGCCTTAGAGAGGCAGAGACAGACGGGGAATGAAGAGGGATGCTTAAAGAAGAGCTGTACTGTTTTTCTTCAGCAGACAGTGACGTGCGTTTCTTGCAGAACTGTAAAGGACTCGGTTTCTACTACTTTGTTGGGTTTTCCTATAGTGTTTGAGATCCATAATGTTTTTTTTTCTTATGTTGATTTGTTTAAGGTAACCTTTAATTTGTAGTACAAAACTTTGCATGTGCAGTACCAGAAAATGTGAGCCTAAACCAAGTCTAAACTCTTTGAAAAGCATAAATTGTCATTTAATGGTATAAAAAAGGCTTTAAAAGATGTAAGAGGTCCAGCTTAACATAAGAAAATTTTAAAATAAGACTGTTGGCCATTTGGGTAAAAATAAAATCTTGGCCATTGTACGTACGGTTATATTAACGTGGTTTCTTCCACTTCTTCTTCTCAGGTGGACGTCGCCGCTCAGAGCCTGACGAGGCTGAGCTGCTGAGGGTCAGCAGGAGATTGGTGGAGGATGCTGTCAGCCGGGCTTTGCAACAATATAAACAGGAAACACTTCAAAACGGGGGCGGGCCCAACGCCGCCGCGGTCCAGCCGCCTGGAAATACAGCGGAGACGAAGACGGACACTACAGCTAACTCCTCCACGGACAACCGGAAGTGACAGCTTTGAACAGACACACAGACTTTCAACAACCAAACGGCCCAGAAAGCATCAGTCGGCCTGGCTGAGGAGGGGGAGGAGTCAATAAGACCTTCGCTCAACAGCACGCCCCCCCACCTGCGCTAGCTGGGCAAAGTGCTGAATAATTAGTTATTATAGCTTCACTTCTGTGCTTGGTAACACCTAATTCTCCGTTATCCAGACCTGGACGTATGTCCTGGAAATATATGAAGCGTTCCTCTAAACATGTGCTTCACTATGAGCTGCCGAAACACACACTGCCCATTCAGAGTAGAGGTGGTTATATTTTGTAGAAGAGCTTGGTTAGCCTTCAGCTGCACTTAACATGAGCTCAGTAATGTCCTTAAAATCAGCTGCAGGTGCGGACCTTTGTTTGAATGCTCTTATCCTCGATGAATCATCTGCTCATCACTGTGTGGCCTGAGCTGCTCTGACTCACCGAGGCGGATTCTTCCACCTTGATTCCTGGTTCAGAGTGTCGGACTTTTGTCCTTAAAAGCTTTTGTTAACCGGATGTTCGTCTTCAGGACATGGATTTCCTTTAACCTTCCAGCATTTTATCTCTTTTTTTTTTTTTTTCAGATGTCTGCCTCCAGCAGGTCAAGTGTTGCATTAGCTGCGCGTCCCTCTCTGAGACAATCAAACGCCGCCACTCCTGATCGCAGGTTTTAAAGCCGGGCTGGACTCCAGCGTTCGGCCCACAAACAGCCTTCTTCCACGCAGTGCTTTAGAATAACAGATTACTACCAATAACACTAACTCCACAGAGTCCAGGAGGGATGGAGGCGGATTGAATGCTAGAAAATAATACAATGACTTGTTGCCAAGAACACATCGTACTTGATTGATGCCAAAACTGACACCATTGTATTGTTTTCCTCTCTATTGTCTGGTTTTTTTTTTTTTTTTTTTGAAAGTGTGAAATGACTTTTAAAGACCTTTTAAAACCTGAGGCAAACTGTCGGTCAGAGACACGCTGGAGTCTGGCTGTTTGAGGCTCCTTGTTTTTCTGTTTTTGAATCCGGATGTGCTGTTAGACAAAAGCTCGTAGTTTCCTTCCTTTAAGAAGTTTTTTATTTTATTTTCTTGCGTTGTTTGTGGCAGTTTGTTGAACTAATTCATGCCATTGAAAAATAAATACATAGTTGGATGAAATCAAAGGAGATTGGATTTTCCAGAAGGCTTGTTGAGGTTATAAATAGTGAAGGATGATACAAAGATAAACAGATTAATTTATATTTGCCTCAGTACTGAAGCTGAATCTGTTCTCTGATTGTGAAATATGTTGTTCAAAGTATATATCTATTTAAGTTAATTATCTAACAGTGTGATTTGATTTTTGAAATCCTTAAAAGCACAAATTTTTCTTTTAGCTGTTTTTGATTGCAGATTTGATGAGGAACTATATGCTGTTAGATTCACCTCACCTTTGCTCAAAGTGGCCTTCCGTCACTGAAACAACTTTTTTGTGATTATAGTTTTGTCACTTGGCGTGGTAATCTGTAGGAGACATTTTTAACCGGGGTGAAGAGATCTCCTAACTGTCAACCTTTGGGTAAAGATTTTGTAGTAAAATGAAAAGAAAAAAAAATTTGTGCTATTTTTAAGTTTTTTCTCTTCTGATGCGGACGGCTTTGAGCTGTAAAACCAACCGTCACTGTGGGCAGCAGCTAACCTAGTCTTATTGTGGACTTTTTAAGGCTTTTTTGTTGTTGGTTTTGATCTTTTGCTGTCACCGGATCCTTAAATCTCCACGATAAATCCCCTTTAATACACAAGTCGTCCGGTTGGCCTCTCTGACCGTTCATCTGTCTGTGAGTTTGCGAGTGTAACTGTGTGTTTTTCGCTCAGATTGTTTCCACAGGGTGTTTGATCAGCGGATTTCCTCAGAAATTCCTCTCTATATCTATCATGACAGCATTTGGTGGTGTGTGAGCAACGAATGAGCCTTTTGTTTGTCTTTCCATGTATCCACATGTATGTTGGGTCATGTGAGCATGTGCTCTTTGTACCGTGTGTGGTGTATTTTGTTCTGCCATGTCCGAACAATAAATCAGGATATGAGATTTAAAACCAATATCCATCTCTGTGTCTCCTTGGTCTAGATAAGCGCCAGATTACTGATCTGCTTGTCATATATCTACACTGTAGCCTATAACTAAGTATGTATCTGATGTTTATTAGCGATTTTTTCTAAACTGGTCAATTTAACACTTAGTTATAGTTGCAGATTTATCAAATTTAAAACTTTTAAAGTTATAGGGAAGTCATATTTAAATGTGAAATCATTCTGGCTTAAACATGTATATAAATGTACTCTTTATCAGACTATATTGTCCCAAAAGTTAGAAAATTTCCATTTTCAAAAAAAATCCTGTTTTTTTTTTTTTCATTATTTTTACGCAGGCCAGTTATTTATACGTCAGCTTGTACATACTTCAATTCGGCCAATAATATATCAACAGTAATCTGTCAATCAAATTTTTTCGGTCATAGCATCTTGATTCATATCGCAGCTAATATACGCAACGGTTGAAATAGGAATGATTTACTTTACCATTTAGTTCTGCCCCAGTGTTCACAGGAATGGACGTCTGTGTCTTCAGCAGGGGTAGAGCTAACAGAACTGGCAGCGTTGCGAGGCAAGGGCTCAAACATGTACGGCTGGAAGCCTTCTACACCAAACCAAGCCTCTGCCGCCCCTTGTGTCCTCTTCTACAACATCTTCGTCCCCGCTTTCCTCCTCTAAAAAGAAAATGTATGACGGAGGAGACTCATCCACGACCTCCGACACAAAGCTCTCCTCCTCTTGCAAGTTTCTGCTGTCCATAGCGTTCCTTGACAGTGTCGTTTCTAGTCACCAATTTAGTGCTACTTGGTCACAATGTAATTTCCCATTGGGAACCTACTTGCACTAAGCGGCTTACTGGTTAGCAGGATGCTTCCGACAAACAGGCCACAACCAAACTTGCTTGCGAACCTTCCCCCATAACAATCCCAACTGTATCATAGTTTACATTAACATGGAGCTTTGTAAAACGTTTGTCCCAATTGATATGTTGCAATTAGATAAATGAATTTCAAATTTCTCTGTTCGGATCTAAACAAGACAGCTGAACCTTGGGGGCCATCAGGTTTGCCATTACTGATGAAAGGTGCTTACCTTGATTCTCTTTTGAGAACCCTGAAAATATTCAGTATTATTAAGGTGTCATAAAACATTTTAATGGTTTAGGCCTCAAGTACTCCCTACATGTGATGGGTGATTGGAAACAAGGCTATTAATGAGTGAAAAATGCACTTTATATGTCTGATGTTTATTAATCAGGGATTTTGTTTTCAAACTGTAAAAATTTAACATTCCTGGTTCATTTAATGGCTTCATTTATATGCAGTTTTAAGCATCACAGCCAAGTAGTCCAAGCCTCATTTTGGAGCTTAAAGTATGCTAATTTTAACCTGCATTTCCAGTTTGAGTACACCCACACCAGAGGTGATTGAGTTGCTTGAGTAAAGCTTAAGAGACGTGGGACTACAGCGAAAACAGAAATGGTTTGATTAAAAAAAAAATTACTATCTTTAATCTGATGTAGATTTATCTCAACATAGGCAATAATTGGAGCCTGGAAGCTATATTAGGATTTTGATTTTATTAATTCCGTTTAAATGTAGGTCCTCACCAGCTGATGGGACAGCAACAAAGAAATGTAAAAAGCTTCAAGTGCATTTATCTTTTTTTTTTTTATGTCTTTTTTTCAATTTGTTGTACATTTAATTAAGGTATTTACCTAGTTGGAGATCTGTATAAAGGATTGATAGACAGAAATTGAGCACAAGGCTTCAAGTATGAATGAAAGTTCCAGAAGAGTGATGTTATGTTAGAGCACCAAACTTGGGCATCAATGGATAACTCAATAACAGCAGATGAAGAACATAGAAAATAGGCAAGTCTCCACCTAGAATAAGATAAAATAAGGTAGGTATTTATCTGCTCATTCTAAAAAAAAGTCAGCTCAACCTAACAAACCAGGAACCACCCAGTTCATTTAAATGGTATGATTTTTTTCTTCTTTTTGTTAAATATATGCCCACTCCGGTTGTAGTTTTTCTGAAATATTACCTCATCCTGTTGGTGCACTACTTCTTATTTTAGGTTTTGTGTTTGCTCAGTTTCTTAGTGCATGTTTTTAACAGAGGTATCATACTGCTCATGTGCACAGGTGGTAAACAAAGAAGTAATATGGCTAATCCAGTTAGAACCTTCAAGCAGAGTTGTGAAATACAGAAGACTCATTTTTTGTTTGGTAGGAACAGGAATTTTCTTTCTCCTTGATTTTCTGACAGGAGGCTCTGAGGAGGGTTCATTAAAACTTCAGATTGGTTGATTAAATTTTTCATTGGTAGGTCTCTGACCACGCTGAGCTTCTGCTTTAAAAAGGCCCAAATGTCACAATCTACACAGTAAAATGAGCGGTGTTCATGTAAAACTTCAAGAGTCTATTTCAACACTGAGTCAGGTTATATATAGTCCTGCCCTGTACCGTGTAAAACTTACACTGATCACAGTGTCAGAATTTCTGAGTTGATTTTACCCTAGTAGGAGTTGAATTTATTTATAGAGTAAGATAAAAAAATTATTCTGACAATTGTTAACTTAGTTTAACACTAAAAAAAAAAATCGACTATAAGTGGAGTAAACTTAACAGTGTTGAAATTGACTCTTGGTTTTAAAGTACCGGGTACAATTATTTATTGATTATTTATTATTTTTCTCAAGCAAAAACTTAAATAAGAATTTTGAGTGAAACAACCCTCAATATATCCATGTCTTATCAATTTAGTAATTTCAGCACATCAACAAAATGCCAATAAAAAGCTGGTATAGAATAAAAACAAAAAGATTTGGATTTTTCTCCTTGGAAAAAAAAAGAGGATGATTTTTCATATATAGACCATCTTTTAAATCTAAATACAAACCAACCTTTGAAATATGGTCAGATGAAAACATTCCACATATATTTCGATTTGTGTATAGCTACCAGCTCATCCTTTTTCTGTAAATTCATCAAATCATTTAATAAATTTACAGAAAAAGGACATTTAAAATCTATATATTTATTTTAAAAAATATAAGCCAAATTGTAAACACAGTTATTTTAACAAGGTTTTCGGACTTATTCCAGATTAAATTCTGAGGGGAAAAAAAGTTAAAATTAAGGTACTTACCGTGGTTTTCCAGCGCGGAGAAGCAGATAAGTGGTGCAGAGAAAGTTCTGGACTCTTCGGAGCATGAGAGCGGAGCTTTTCAGACTAATTTTCACCACAACTCCAAAAGAGTGAACTTTTAAACACTTAACAGGTTACACTATTAAGGGTCCTTACCAAACCAATTTCAACTCTAAATATTTTCACCAACACTGCGATACGTAATGAGGCATTTTACACTCACTGTTGTTGGAATGACTCTTAAAGAATTAACAGATTCTGACACCGACACTTTGACTCTCTGAATTTTACTGTGTAGCTACTGATAGTTATGTAGATTTTTTTGGTGCTTTTTATATATCGAGACAATGCCCCTTTAAAAGCATTCAGTGACAAGTGAACTGAACTCTACATATTATATGCCATAGAGGGTAATGAAGGTTTATGATCACAGTGATGGAAGCAGGTAAAAGTCTTTCTTTTTTTCATATAATCTGTCATTTACTAGTGAGGATTTAAATATAATACTGTACCTTATATCTGGCTGGTTCACCTGTCAAACTATAAAGTCTCCTTACATCACAAAAATATGATATTTTAGTCAAAATACTGAGGCAAAATCGGAAATCAGCAGCAGTAAAACATTTCTTTTCATTGAGCTCACACACTGAGAAAAAAAAACTAAAAATCATGTGTAAACATGCAGGAGGGCTTTTGCAAAGAGAGCTCATTGATTTTGAATACTATAATCCCCAGACATTTGGTTATGATGGGGGTAAATGTACACTGATTTAAAAAGACTTGTAATCTAGAAGTTGTCCTCCTTTCCCACAATCAGCACCAGCCATTGTGTCACTCACTACGCTGTCATCTTACTCATCTTACCCATCCCTGTTGTGTCCTTATGCTTTAAAGTTGTGCCCCTAGTTGTTCTTTTCCTTGAAGATAATTTTGTGTTTGCTTTAACAATCCTGAGGCACACAGGGTTTTCTCCTCCATTTATTAATTCTTTGGGAGAAGTAAGAGTCTTTTATTCTTTTTTTCTCTTTTTCAACAAGTGGCCACTTATCAAAGCATTGAGTTAAAAAGGTTATTTTTGTGAATAAAATAATTGGTTTTCTGTTTACAGCATTGGACACTTGCACTCTTGTTGCTCTAGACCAAACGTCTTCAAATATTGTAGTGCTTTTTGTTTTGTGTGGTTCCTATACTTTTCTGGCGTTCATAAAATAAAAAAGGAGAGGAAGGCAAATACAGATATATTTATGTTTCATATTTTCTAGGTTTTATATTACTAGTTGCATTTCACACCCCTGATGAATCACCAAAATGGCCCTGCCACATTTTGCAGTTAAAAGCAAGCCCATTTTAGACTAGTACACTCACAAAATGCACTCTTTGACCTGCCTGTGCAAACTGAAAACAGAGGAAGGATGGAAATCAAAATGGAAAATATTTTCTCTTTTTAAAATCTGGGTTTGAAATAATAAAGTAAATTTGAAACTGATAATTAATAATTTTCCCAGCAGATCAGTTTTATTCTGGAAAAGACTGAACACTAAATTTCATTCACAGGAATAAGGTTTTAAAAAGAAGCTCTCAGGAAAATCAAATTTTTATGGTTTTTTTTTGTTTTTTTCCATGTTTACAACTGATTCCGAAAAAAAAAAAAAAAAAACAATTCAATGGACTTTGTTTACAAGTTTGAAAACGTTTCGCTTCCCATCCAGGAAGCTTTTTCGATTCGAAATGTCAGAAATTGCATTAATTTGAGGCTTTATAGAGTGGGCCAATAACAAAGCCTTGTTTTGGCTTAGAAATCATACAGATTGAACCAGATGAAAGGGTCTGTCCTTTAGGAATGGGGGTCGT